ATGAGTTTGGGAATGAGGAAACAGCTTCAACCTGAAGGTTTGTTACAGCACTAACCATTCGACTCCTGGCTTTTGTATTTTCTGTACAAAACCTTTTGTTTTTTTAAAGCTCTGACTGACTAACCGCATGCTGTGTCCTCTCTGTTTGGCTGTGCCACACCCTCTGAAGCTCCTCCCCCAGCGCCCCCAAGACTCGACCCTTCAGCTGTGCGGACCTATTCCTGCTAACTACACTCTACTTACTAACAGTAGTGCTAATGCTAAAAGGTAAGCTAACAAAATGTTGCCTTAAAACTGACATTGCTGGGCTCTAGCAGTCTGTCCAGTTGTGTGGAAGGAATGAGTCACTAACTTTACTGTAAAAAATACCTGTATTTATGCCAAACTTTAGTTATGATCATAGCATCTGCTGATTTCTGACTTTTACCTTGTGCGTAGCCAAATAAAAATAAAATGTTTCTCTCAAATTTAGGTATGCCTCATTATAACTGATAATTGTTGAAGTTCAAATACAGCTCTGAATGTAAAGAGATGGTTCAGACTGTTTGAAGCAGGGTTCTGTGGTTCTGTTTCTCAGTATCTTAAAGGGGGTGTACTGCGGTCAGAACGATCTCAGTTTAGAGAATCAGTGAAAAGTTCACATTCAAACATGAAGCTGAAAGCTAGTCAGTGTTCACAGATCCTAACCAGATTTCTGTCATTTTAAAACAACTGTCAAACAGCCATATGAATTTAACATGTTCGCCACATGTGATCCCACTTGGAAAATAGTGGACCCATATGGAATCATATGAACATGGTAAAAATGTTACATAATCACATGGTGAACAAAATGTATTTCACATGCTTATTAACATGCTGTTACACCTGAAAACATGTGATCTCCACATGCAAAGCTTATGTTGTTTTTGTAGGGGATGGTTTCTTTTAGGGCATTATAAACCAGTAGGTTGTATCTGCTTGTTTTCTATACTGGTGCTGGTCATAAAATTAGAATATCATGAAAAAGTTTATTTATTTCAGTAATTCTGTTCAAAAAGTGAAACTTGTTTATTATATTCATTCATTACACACACAGACTGATATATTTCAAATTTTTATTTATTTTAATGTTTATGATTATAACTGACAACTAATGAAAACCCCAAATTCAGTATCTTAGAAAATTAGAATATTAATACCAATAAAAAAATGAGATTTTTTTAAATGTTGGCCTCCTGAAAAATATGAACATGAAAAGTATGAGCATGAAAAGTATGAGCATGTACAGAACTCAATACTTGGTTGTTGCTCCTTTGGCCTGGATTACTGCAGCAATGCAGCGTGGCATGGAGTCGATCAGTCTGTGGCACTGCTCAGGTGTTATGAGAGCCCAGGTTGCTCTGATCGTGGCCTTAGGCTCTTCTGAATTGTTGGGTCTGGTGTATCGCATCTTCTTCTTCACAATACCCCATAGATTTTCTACGGGGTTAATGTCAGGAGAGTTTGCTGACCAATTAAGAACAGGGATACCATGGTCCTTAAACCAGGTACTGCTAGCTTTGGCACTGTGTGCAGGTGCCAAGTCCTGTCGGAAAATAAAATCTGCATCTCCATAAAGTTGGTCAGCAACAGGAAGCATCAAGTGCTCTAAAACTTCCTGGTAGATGGCTGCGTTGACCTTGGACCTCAGAAAACACAGTGGACCAACACCAGCAGATGACATGGCACCCCAAACCATCCTCGATTGTGGAACTGGATCTAAAGCAATGTGGATTCTGTGCTTCTCCTCTCTTCCTCTAGACTCTGGGGCCTTGATTTCCAAAGGAAATGCAATATTTACTTTCATCAGAGAACATAATTTTGGACCACTCAGCAGTAGTCCAGTCCTTTTTGTTGTTAGACCAGATGAGACGCTTCTGACACTGTCTCTTGTTCAAGAGAGGCTTGACACAAGGAATGCAACAGCTGAACCCCTTGTCTTGCATATGTCTGTGCATGGTGGTTCTTGAAGCACTGACTCCAGCTGCAGGCCACTCTTTGTGAATCTCCCCCACATTTTGGAATGGGTTTTGTTTCACCATCCTCTCCAGAGTGCAGTTATCCGCTTGTACACTTTTTTCTACCACATCGTTTCCTTCCCTTCACCTCTCTATTAATGTGCTTGGACACAGAGCTCTGTGAACAGCCAGCCTCTTTAGCAATGACCTTTTGTGTCTTGCCCTTTTTGTGCAAAGTGTCAATGGTCGTCTTTTGGACAACTGCCAAGTCAGCAGTCTTCCCCATGATTGTGTAGCCTACAGAACTAGACTGAGACCATTTAATGGTTTTTGCAGGTGTTTTGACTTAATTAGCTGATTAGAGTGTGGCACTCGGTGTCCAATATTGAACCTTTTCACAATATTCTAATTTTCTGGGATACTGAATTTGGGGTTTTCACTAGTAGTTGGTTATAATCATCAACATTTTAAAAAATAAACATTTGAACTACTGTATATCAGTCTGTGTGTAATGAATGAAAAGAATATACAAGTTTCACTTTTTGAATGGAATTGCTGAAATAAATCAACTTTTTCATGATATTCTAATTTTGTGACCAGCACCTGTATACTACAGTGTTTAACCAGGGATCTGGCACAGACTTGATCTGATTTTTGTCTCACTGTTGTTGTTGTTTTTCAGTGCATTCTCATTACCTGTACGGACACATGCTTGCGGCCTTTTGAGAGTGATATGCCAAATCTGGAGAGGAAGACCTGGGTACGCCAGCAGGGGGCTGGGGAGGGGTGGTAGGAGGCCTCTCTCCTCTGCTGCCCAGCCTCACCATCCCTTTCATCTCTCTCCTCTCCTTCGGACACGTGCAATACAGAGGGCAACTCTGACCTTTGAACTCTGAGGGTGCTCAGTGATTGGCTGTGCTCGCTGCTGTAAAGGAGGCTCATACCTGTCTCAACCTCCCCCCACGTTATTTTTTTGTTTTTTACCCCAGTGCTCCCGGTAGCCTTGTTTTTTGTGGTGTTGTGTTCCTGCTCTCCCTGTCTCAGCTGTGGGTCCTCGTCCTGTTTCTAATAGACGCAAAGTGGCAAAGACCAATCAAATCTTCCTGTGTTAACAGAAAAGCTGAAACAAGTGAGGAAATAAATTAGGACGATGATGACGAGTTGTTATGTTTGGACCTGAAAATGTGGAAAACTTGTATAAATGGCAGATTCCTCTGCACATTACCATTCTACCGGTTATGCAAGGTATTACTCATATATCGTCTTTGTACATAAAATGGATAACTTATGTTTTTTATAGAAATATTATATATATGATATATATATATTGGAAATATATATGGAAAGTATTATAATATTGCTGTACTGAACCCAATGCCCTGTATTCGATAGTGACTGTTCTCTTTTTTTCTCTTTCTCTCTGTGTTGGACCTTTGCGTGACTTCTTGCCGTGCGCCGTGTGTAACTTAGTGGTGGAAAAGACTTGCTAAAGGAAATGTGCGTTTCTACGAGGACTCTTCACAGGTTTATGGGTCCAAATCTCTCTTCGCCTCTTCTCCTGTTCTCTTCTCCTCCGAAATCTTTTGACACGATGTAGCTGTTCTCTTCCTCTTTCCGCCTCTTTCGCCTTCTGTATGACACTATGTAGCCTAGAGAGAGAGTTTAGTATGATGAGAGAGTGCGTGTGAATAAGCCTATCTTCTGGAGACTTGTAGAGGGGTTGTGTGTGAACGGCCGACCCCAGCCATGTGACCATGATTTGTGTGTGTGTGTGTGTGTGTGTGTGTGTGTGTGTGTGTGTGTGTGTGGATGGTAGTTACACTGTAGCTCATGTTGATTTTGAATTTGCGAGTCTAACGGTAAACTGCTGCTCATTGTCAGCCAATGACACACACACGATACTGCTCTTATCGACAGAGCGCTCTGTCACTTTCCATTTAGTTTCCATGGAGACGGGCCTTTGAGCAAGTCCACGCTCTTGGCTGACAAGCTCCTCATCCAACACAGCATATGAACTGGAGAACTTCTGGATGGCTGTACAATCTTTTTATTTATTAATTTTATTTTAAAGTTTTCAAAATGTGTAATGTGCTATGTGGCAGCTATGAGTACTGTGTCTTTATTCCAGGTGTGAAACAATGCTGACAAATCAAGATTTTATTATTTGGCTATCCAAAAAAAACAAAACAAAAAAATGGAAACAGAAAAATGTACTGTATTTATGACACTATGTAGACATAAGTAAAACTGTTTTTTAAATACTTTATTGATTTTGAGCTTTTTTGATGAGGGACCATCTTAAAATAAGGGTATTGATATAACGTTTTATAATTCGACTGTCGATGACTTTGTAAATGTGTCATTATTATAAAGTGTTTTTCATACAGTGCTCAGTATTTGGCAAGAAAAATGTCAGTGCTGATCTTTTTATTGAAAGCATTGTTACTGAATATTAACGTTTTATTAGGTGCTAAAAATGACTGCTTTATTAGCTATTTATTAATAATTTATACAGGAACCCTATTTTTATTTGTTGTGTCAGACACCACCAGACAGACTACTGAAAATGCCCTTTATTTGCAAGAATAAAACAGAAAATATCATCTCCAAATACACAACAATCTTAGTTATAAAAGTCACAAAAATAAGTTAGCAAAGAATAAAAAATAAAATGGCAAAACCACTCTGTAGAAAAGAAAAGGAACGTATTTACACTAGCATTCATAACATGTTTAAATTAAGCAGATCTTGGTCAAAACTGCCATGGTACATATTGGCCCCACAAATAAACTTATGTTTATAATCATAAAAACTCACACACAAAAAAGAATGAAAGATCAGGGGGAACGTTTTCTTTAGGGGTGGGGAGAAATGGACAATTAAATTAAGTTAGAACCAGGATTTGTCATTCATCTGTGGTTCTACAGTTTAAGGTTAAGAGATTCACTGCAGTAACTAGATGTTGGGTTCATGCAGCAAAGGAAATCTAAACTAAGAGCCTCTGATAGACCGATCTGGACCGCAAGATAAGGCAATTTTAAAAAACAGGAAATAAGGCCTCAGTGTGAAAGGAGGAATTCAGACTCTTAGATCAGTAGATTTACATTGCTAATAAATCACAAAAATTTGGCACATGCCAAAACACTCAAATCAGTAGATGTATAAAGGAAAAACTAAATCACCCTTTAGAATTGGTTGTCGTTCGTTGCTCTCTGTTCACCTACATGTGGTTCCACTGTTGCGAGGGTCTATTTGGGAATGTCTACGGGAAAGCCCACGGATCCATCAGCTGCAGAGATGCTGTTCACTATGGAAGTCAAGGCGCGCATGTTGCCCTGCTCAGGAGATTCAGCCGCGCTCAGCAGATCTGCAGAGGGAGGGAGAGGCCGGGTCACACGGTTAGTACCGGTGGGGCTGCTCTAACCTGCCGCCTGACGAGGCAGAAGAATACTCACCCTCACTGCTGTAGCTCTGCGGGCACTGCTCGGGAGTGCTGCTCCACTCCGGGCTGCTGCAGCAGGTGCTGCTCGAACTGGGCTCGCTCGAGGACGACACCTGTTGCCATGGAGACGCAGAAGTGGCTGTCAGTCACTGTTATAGTACTGCACGAATCCTCAAAAAACAGCACAACCCATACGTCTTATTGCCCCTTTGAGATGAACTACAGTTCCATTGGAAATTAACTTGTTAGTGACGTACTGTAAACAAGCACAGCTTTATTTGCCAACATCCCAATTTAAAACCTAAGAACACATCCGTCCAAAGCGTTTGTCTTTTCGTGCCTTCCTCTTTACCTAAAGCCTCATCTTCTATCATACTCACTCTGGGTTGGGCTGGACTGGGTCGGTAGTGCAGTCCCTGCTGTCCTGTCTCGGTGTCCTGCTGGTTGAGGGAGGACACGAGGGCTTGTAGCCTTTCTATATACTGTATGGCGCTCCGCAAGATCTCAACCTTGGGCAGCCTTTGGTTGGGGTTCATCAAGGTGCTCCTCTTCAGAGCATCGAAGGCCTCGTTCACCTTCTTCAGACGTCTCTTCTCCCTCAGGGTGGCCGCTCTCCGACGATCCATGGTCACGGTCTTCCTTTTACACAGCTTACAGGCCCAGGGTAGGCACTGACCCGGGCAGTGGGGCTCGGAGTGAGGCGACAGGCTGGATGGAGAAGCTTTTTCCTCTGTACCTGCCAATCCAGCACCAACACTCCCAGACATGCTCCCACACAAGCCCATCATGGAGTTTCTGTCCTGGTAGCCAGCTTGGTCATACGCCCCAGGCAGGCGAGAGGGGAAGTAGCTGTCTCCTCCTTCAAAGAAGCGCTGGTCAGGGAAGAAGTAAGGGTTGGTCTCAAAGAGCTCCATAATGGACTATACGTGGCTGTAGGAGACAGAAAATCCTTGCTTCGTTTTGGAACTGCTCTTCAGAAGGTGGCGTTCAGTCCTGTCCCTGAGGCATGTGTTGGAGTGTACGTTTGCGTGCCTGTCTTCCTCCTGGCTCACGTTAGCAATGAGTGGAAGACGTGTGGAGAACAACTGGTGTGGAGCAACTGTAGGCTGGCATTTAAACCCCTCAGCCTTCTGCAGGATCACAGGGTTAAATTTAGCACGAGCCCCAAGAAACCTGACACGACGTTTAGCTGTTGCTGCACATCTACACTTCACATCTCTGTTGGACCATGCTCTCTAGGGCTTCATGGCCCATTCATGTGTTTGTGTGCCCTTCTGTGGCTTTGTGTGCTCGCCTCCGTCCAAAGAAGCCAGGATATGATCAAGTTGCTGTGGAATTGGAAGATATGACTTCAGATCAAAGGTGTCCATCTTAATGAGATAATCCCAGGCTTGTGTCCTCCTTCATGACACTGCACATGCTCTGCCATGGGGGGTGGGGGAGGCAGTGTAGTGGTCTTGAGACAGCTGCCACCTCTACTAGGAACCAATAATACGTAGAGTCAGTACGATGTTTGAGCTCAGAGATTGTTGTTTACTCACATCTGGGTCACAAAGGCAATGTCAGGTTCATAACAATTATCAGAGTAAATGGTAAGTGTGGAAAGTCAAAGCTGGTGCCATTGTTCTGGAGCATTTTGTCTGCGTCCGTATACGCTTACATTCCTTCCGACATGATTGCACAGAGTGATGCAAGTAGCCATTTGAGCTTCACCCCTCTCTGAACCAGTCAGGCATGTTCAGGCATGTTCAGCACAACGCCAAGCAGACACTGATTCACTTTCGCCACAGAAACCAAGGGACAGTAATGACACGACCGTGCAGGAGTCCCGACCTCCTCCAGCCATGCGTACAGTTAGCTATCCACTGGGTGTTAATCCTCCCAGGACATGTCTCGCCTCGTAGCTCACCGGCTAATTTCGACTGCCTTCCGCTAGCATGAAAACAGCCAAAACACACACTTCTGTCAGCGGAGAAGTAGCATGGAACAACTGGCACAGTTTCAGATGTGTTACACCTTTTTGTGTCTTATATCCCATCTATCACAGCTCTGAGGAAGTATTTGCTGGTGGCAGGAGAATTGCTATCTTTTTAGGCCACACACAGTGTCTTACTGGTGCATAAATCACTGCTAATGTCACAAAGTGGGCCACATGCTCTTTACGAGAAGCTTTTTGTTTGCTTAAAGAAATAAGGAGCAAAAAAGTTAAGCTTTCAAACAGTAATGTTACAAAAATTAACAACATGTAAAATGAATATTAATTAAAGTGTCAAAAGAAAAAAAATGCACATTTGAAATGTCCTTTTTTAATAAAGACAATAATACACCCAAACCCATTTTATCCCACTCAGGGTCATGGTGGGGCCAGAACCTGACTCGGTTGTCAGTGGGTCAGAGGTCGAGTAGACCCCAGATTGATTCTCAGTCTATTACAGGATCAACTGGGAAACATGAGACAAACAAAAATAAATGCTCACATCCAAAATCAGTTTAGAATCACCAACATGCATGATTCTGGAGGAAACTGGAGTATCTGGGAAAAGAAAACACAAACGTACACTCTGAAGCCAACTTCACCACACTGAGTCAAACTAGAAACCCTTTAGTGATGAGGCTAACATAGAAAACTGTTTTTGACGATTACAAACGTTGAATTGTAATTCACACACATTTCACATGTAAGTTTTATTTATGGCATGTGCAACAAAAACGTGTCAAGGCAGTATTATTTTTACAGGAGCAACAAGTAAAGTTTTGGATATGGCTTTTTTGCAGGTAAACTTTGCTTATTTCAACAAGTTAAAGTCAAACTAAAGGAAGCAGGATGGTATTTACAGTCTGGATGCACAGAAGGCCTGCCAGCAGTCCAGAGCTTGAAAACATTTGATACATTGTGAAATTAAAAAGATCATAAAAGACATTAAACTGTGGAGCAGCTCAAACCCTTTATCAGAATGGATAATTATTCTAAATTTAAACTACGATAAACTTGTTCCTGAATGCTTGCAATATTTTAAAAGGGTACTTTAACAAAGTGACAAACATGGCCTTGTTAATTGTCATTTTTGTTGCTAGAATAGCATTTTAAATGTTCTTATATTTGTTGTTTTTTATTCTAGCATTTTAATTAAAACATGGTCTAATAGATTTTAAAAAATGTGTCTCGTCCTATTATTTGTTTTGCATTTTACACAATAATCCAACTTTTTTAAATTTATTAAACAGGAGTGTACCACACATTTACAGTTCTTTATGTATGATGTGTTTAAAGACCAATAATACAGCATATAGTGCAAAATCCTAAGATAGTTTGACTCATTTAAAGCAAACAAAACTAAAAAGTAAACTTTGTTGTAGTTTTGTAATGGTCTTGAACCATGAATATACAGGTTTTCTGAAAGTCTTTTAAAGTTTGTTTCTGTAGATGATGGCTGTTTATTTCTTATTTGTATTTAAGTTCTTTAAGTTTTCTAAGAAAGGTTTGTTTGTTTGTTTGTTCTTAAACTAAGGTCCATTCCTTGAATTTGGAATATTCATTACACTTGAATAATTTATCAACTTTAAGTAGCTTGATTTTATGTCGCAAAAAATTAAAAAGACTTTGAAGTGCTTTCAGAAAATAAAAATAAAAATTTTCAAGAGCAAGTATATACTGTATATTATATATTTGTAGTGTTTCAAAATCTTTAGACATAAAAGTAGGAGTATTTTAATGGTAAATGATCTGTACTTATATAGCGCCTTTCTATCTTATCAAGACACTCAAAGCGCTTTACAACATAATCTGTGCCCTCATTGACCCATTCATACAGCACTCTATTCCTATACAAAGAATAATCAGAGCTTTATCACATTCATACACCAACACATCGGAGGCAATGAGGGGTTCAGTGTCTTGCCCAAGGACACTTCAGCATGTGACTGCTGGTGGAATCGAACCCCCAACTCCTGCATTGGAGGATGACTGCTCTAACCACTCATCCACAGCCGCCCCTTTATTATTTATTATTTTAATGCAAATAAAAAGGTCAGTGATGGTTTATTCCATGTTAGTGTTGCGGCTCCAGGGTCGTTCAGGTTTGGCACCTCTAAACGAAACCGGTCTTTTAAATTCCTCTGATTTCATTTTTAAAATAAAAATTCTCAGTATTTGTATGAATTTGTAATTGATAGGTTAGAAAAGAGTGTGAATTAATGTGTCTCAGTAGTTGAAGTGACAGATTTTTCAGCTCTGGACAGGCAGCGGTATCACTGGACATTTGCAGTCCGGTCTCGAGGTTTTGGGCTCAGATTTGGGTCCGAAGCCAAGTGTGCAGTTGGAGCTTGGCACGAGGCTGCCGTGGGCTGTCAGGTTAGTCTGTGATGGATAGTCACTGATGGTGGAAGGAGTACAAAGACCCCTGTGTTGGACTGAGGAGTACAGCAGGGAGGGGGGTCTGCAGTGTGTCAGAGTCACTCATAACCCTCCGTCATCTTGAGCCATTGTCAGCAGAACTAGAGAACTTGTGTGTGTGTGTTGTGGCATCAGAGACACACTTGTTTGAGAAGTAGGTTCCTCTCAGCATTTTGAAGTGAGTACTTGAGATGCAGCAGACAAGAAATCAAGTGTTAACTTATTGTTTACATATCTATACATTCTGTCACGTTAACAATATGTCAAATCCAGAGTTTACTCAGGCTACAAGTGAGACCGTTAAAATTATTTAACTTTGGCTGTAGGTCGTAATAATTTCTCACAACTTTTAGAAATAATTTTCATGTTCAAAACCACACAAGCCACATTATTTATTCTGCTGGGTGGAAAAAAGTGTGTAAGTGTGCGTTTGTGTTTCATCGGGGATTGCTCTGTCACTGGCAACAATCTTCTGCTTCTCCTCAATGACAAGCAGCAGCACATTGCAGGACAGCTGAGCTTAGGGGGGAGGATGAGAGGGGAGGGGTCAGTCCTCCACCCCCACCAGGTTAGCCTCAAGATCATCTCTGACCTGAAGAACCGTCATCTGAGTGCTGCCGTTGGAAAATCTTGTATATGAAAGAGGAGAGTAACATAACAACGGAGGAAGAGTGTTAATCAAAGGTGGATGAAGTGGGACATCCGTCCAGAGGGGTCAGATAACAGACAGAATACACAAACAGATGAGCGGATCTCATTTTAACGTGGTTTGACTCACATTGTGGGCCATGGAGCATATTAGATGCAATAAATCATGTATGGTAGTATGAAAATAATTAAAAACTTGTTTGGAGACTGTTACGTGAGTGCGAAAGGTACAAAGGTATGTACGGTACATACATGTACCGTACATACCTTTGTATGTACTGTAGGTTCAAAGAAATTTCATTATAAAATGCTTTAGGATTATTTAAAGTACCTAAAGTATGCCATTTTATAATGAAATTTATTTGGAATAATGGTATTTGAACCGGGCAGCACGGTGGCGCAACTGGTAGAGCTGCTGCCTCTCAGCGAGCAGGTCCCTGGTTCAAACCCCGGTCCAGGGTCCTTTCTGGGTGGAGTTTGCATGTTCTCTTCGTGCATGCGTGGGTTTTCTCCGGGTGCTCCGGTTTCCTCCCACAGACCAAAAACATGCATGTTAGGCTGATTGGTAACTCTAACTTGTCCCTAGGTGTGAGTGAGAGAGTGATTGGTTGTTTGTCTCGTTTGTCTCTATGTGGCCCTGCGATGGACTTGCGACCCGTCCAGGGTGTACCCCGCCCCTCGCACAGTGATTGTTGGACATGGGCACCAGCGACCCCCGTGACTCAAAATGGAATAAGCGGGTAAAGATAATGGATGGATGGATGGATGGTATTTGAACCATTTAAACAGTGAGAGGTTATTGAATTTTACACTTTCTCGTTGACTGTGTACATTTTAGGGGGTTCAGTTCAGACAATTTATAAAGACTTTGAA